AAGATTGTACGACAAACGGGGAAAAAAGGAGAAAAAAAGAAAAGAGGAGCCGATTCGATTCAATTCGATATCCTCGATTGAATCGATCGAGCGAATGTATATCTTGTATATTAAAATACGCGAAATACTGATTATCAGATAGAGTGAACGGCTGGTAATCGAATCTCGTCATCTCGTTCCTGTCTTTGACCCCTGTTAGATCGAGCCCCCTCCCTTGCCCCCACGGCCAAGTCTCTCCTGCTGGTTTCTTTGCGCAAACGTTCGCGTGGCCAGTCGATAGGCAACGATTTGCAGTTCCTTTTTTCAGCCCGATCGGACGATGGATGAGAAAAATATGGAGTGAGTGAGTGAGAGAGAGAGAGATGTATGGAAAAAGGATGTATCTTGCTGCGATTAAGATTATATAACAGTTCATAGCGTGTGTGTGTGTATGTGCGCGTGTGTGTGTTTTTCGCCCGATTCTGGATACGATTTAGAGAGAGAGAGACACGCGATTAGAGGAACGTTTTTATTTTGGAACGCGTTTTCGCGGTAAAAATGGGATGCGCAAGTGTAGTTCACTGTAAAAGGATCCGGTTGCGTGATCCAGCTTGCACACGCTGTACATCGGCCATGTCCATCTATTTATGTATGTGGCAATAAAATCGTTATTGTTACTATTATTATTAAACGTGGTATAAAAATCATTCCTCTTCGTGGTCACACTTTTCAGAGAAGAGGCGATCCTTTATTGCGCGAGAGGCGGCACAGGTACGTAGAATCTCTCTTTCTCTTTCCCTTTCTCTCTCTCTTCCATATAACGTCGCTGTTTAAATATGCCGGCAAAATCTCGAAGTCGAAACGTTTATTAAACGGTATAAAAACTATTTCTCCTGTTAAGAAATATTATCCAATCCTGTGGATAGGATTCCACTTTCGAAGAATCTGAAACCTGAAGCAAGAAGCTGTCCAACAGGAGAGGGGACTTTGATATTTTATATAATATCGACGAGAGGAGGAAGAGGCCAGTAGTTCCGTTATATGGATTTCCATTGCGCAGCACGATAAAACGATAACGGGGAACGAAATTAGGGGAAACGAAAATAGTTTTCAAGAAAAGCCGATCTCGCTACATAATATAGTATATGTCAAGCCGGCTGACAGGTAGCAAGGGCAATCTCACCTTAGTAGCCCCTTAAACGGCTCTGACGGCAAGGTAATTTTCTCGGAATTCGAGATTAAAATTGCATCCAGCCTGGAAGGGAACAAAGTACGCCCTCCCCCTCCCGACCACTCTTACCCAAGCTTCAGGGAGGGGGAGGTAACGATGGCGAGGAGGATGGAGAGAATCTGACAAGGGAAGGAGGGTAAGGAGAGATAGATAGAGATAGAGAGAGAGAGGGAGTAAGCGGTGTGAATTAGCAGCAGTCGAGTAAAAAAAATACTGGGCGGATGAAAAATGCCTCTTAGATCCCCTTGTTATTACCCTAAGACGAGCAGGGTCTGGGGGAGGGAAATACCGAGGGGAACGAGGTGAAAATGTTACGGGCCACCGACGGTAAATTTTCTTGGACCTCTCTCGTGGATTTGTATCATTTGTGAAAAATTTAACAAGGATTCGTTCCCAAGTGGAAATATTTTCATTTGATCCCTGGGCAAAAATTAATTATTATATTCCATCCCCGCGAAATTTAAATACAATTTGAAAATAATATGAACGTTTCTTAAGCGTAATAATACGCGCGAATCTGAACACTCGTTAAGCATAACTTTACAAATCAAACTCAAACTCTATCCTGAGACTGAAAGATTAGACATATATACGTGCAAGTATGGAACTACAACGCAGTATGGAAGCTAGATACGAATCATTATATCCGATATATAGTATATTTTTGCACAATTCATCGTGGATCCAAAAAGATAAATCAAAAAAAAAAAAGAAAAAAATATATCTATAAACCTATATAACGATAATATCATCGTATAAATGGGATAATCGAGAAATTATTCGAAATTTTACCATTCAGATATGATGGATACCTCATGCCCTTTCCGAACAGAATTCCGATGCGTAACGCGAGCATTGTAGCCAGCTTCATTAGAGATCTAATGAAGCATCGACACAGTAGTGGATGTAGTTGGTCATCGATAAACAGATGATAATGACCTTACGCGGATGATAATCGCAACGGCCCGTCATTAATCTCGATATCATCTCGATATATATATATATATATATATATAAA